GAGGATTGAGTGGTAGAGTACGCAAATGTGTAAGTGTAGAGGCAGCTTCATTGGCTTCAAGCTACCGCAAAAGCTTTCGCGGAAATATATTTCTTGCGCATCTTGCAAACGCCACACCCAGATTATGTTCCAGAAGTTCTTGCACAGGTTCTTGTACACCGAACACGCGAACATTCTTGACAAACATGTGTTTTGATGTCTTGTACAGCGTTGGACCCGTGATGGCTTTTTTGCTGTGAAGTGATTTGAGCTGTGCATTTGAGATGTTCTTGAGTTTACCACTTGGAATCAGCTTTGAAGATTCTTGCTTGGAGTTTTTTGAAATACTGCAAGATTTCAATACCCGAGCGCTGCAAATGCACAGTCCATGTGTACATTCACATTTTGCACATGTATCCTTCCTTTTTTGGTTTTTGAGTTTAGTGCGCTTACTGTAGTAGTTGTTGTTCTTGCAATGGCTGCTGAGCCTCAGCGCTTGTATATTGGTGGGTGGAAGATGGGTATCACCCGGCAAGATTCTAGTCAAGCACAGTGGAGATTTAGTTTGGCACTGCGTTCTTTTGCACAGTCAATCTGGCGATGTTCTTGCTTAACATACTTCTTGCTGAACATAATAGTTCCTCCGCAGTCGATTTGTTTATGTACCCACTGAGGAGATCTATGACTATTTGGCGGCCAACGATTTGCCGTTTCCTAATGATATCAAGATTGGTAGATGCTTGACGTTAAAAGAGGCTTCGTGATCTTGCCACCTGTGATGTTCTTGAGATGTACATATCACCATGTTCTTGCCACTTGTGTTGTTAGAGTTTGTTGCATTTGACATGGTGATGCTTTGATATAACGTCTGATTCAAGAGATTCAGCTTCTTTGCACTTCTGATGTTCTTTTGAAATTTCTTGTAGCTGAGACGCTGCATGTTTTTGACCGGCGCCACTGGAAGGGGATATCCTGTTCTTGCCACCTGTAGCTCTTGCCACATGTTTTGTTCTTGCCACCTGTTTTTCCCACAGACACAGTTCGAAAGAGGTTTCACGTTCTTGCCACCTGGTGTTCTTGTCAGTTCTTGCGCTTGAGATGCGTCTTGCCGATCTTGTTCTTGCCTCAGGTCAGGGCTCATCAGACCAGATGTATACCTTTTTCAACCTGAGCTCCGCTGATGATTCAGTGGCGATCCAGCTGGCACTTCGCGGCAAGACCATTGCAGGCGCTACGAAGAGGGCTTCGAAAGTCAACGTTGCCGGTCCAGCACCTCCACGGTACGATGCTGCGACCAAACATGGAAGCCGACCGAAAGCAAAGCAATCTTCGGCGCCGGCGCCGGTGCCGCGCGCAGGTTATCCATTTCCACCTGAGCCTCCACTACAGATGTTCGGTCTTGGTCCGGAGCGTGCGCCATCGCCGGCAGGTTTGTCGGGTAAGTATGGTGGTCCTCCTGTTCTTGCGGCTCCTACGATCAATGCATATTTGGCGCACCCGCCGCTGCCTCGACCTTCATCATCCACATCAGGACCACCGAAGCCCTCCATGGCACCTCGATTCATGGCCAAGCCATCAGCATCGGTTGCGCCATCTGTTGCTTCGGCGGCTTTGATGAACCGGTGGGGAGAGCTTGGCAAGGGCCCTCCCACTGAGTGGATTCGGCCACGAGAGGCCATGCAAGGCGCTGTCTCAGGCGGTGAGACGGAGTATGCTGGTACAGATGGCTCTCCGCACGCCGATGTCGAGGAGGAGTCATCGCCAGATGAAGAGTATGAAGAAGCCAGCGCAGAAGAGCATGGCTCAGTTCAAGAAGCAATTCAGGAAGGCTGGTCAGAAAATGCTGTGTCCCAAGAAGGTGAAGAGCACCAAGTCTTGGTTGAACCCACACAGGCCAAAGCTGCCGCGCTGAAGAGGCCTTCGAGGACCACAACACCAGCACCAGCGCCGACACCCTTTCGAAAGCGCGCGCAGCCAGCTCATTTTATTTGCAACAATATCCCCATAGCTATCCCTATTTGGGAAATAACAACATATGAGCTTGCGCGTATAAGTTTACGCGCGCAAAAGTATGCACGAAGGCCAAGCAGTATCCAGCGCCACTATTGTAGCGTGCTTGAAGCAACGATCTGCAGACCGATAAGGCCGTATGATCTCGCGCATATAAGTTTATGCGCGCAAAAGTATGCGCACAAACGGAAAAGCCCGTAGGCTTCACTCGCCCAAGGCCAAGCAGTATCCAGCACGACTATTGTGCAGCATGCTGAAACAATCGTCGGTTGAGAGCCTGACGTTGCGCATAGAATATTATACATACAAAAGTATGCGCGCAAACAGTACAGCCCTTGACACTGTCGGCCAAAACAGAACCTGAAGAGTGTAAATAGACAAAGAACGCTCAAGCGACAACACCGTATGATGTTGCGCGCATAAGTTCACGCGGCCCATGACTGCTGGCGCTTCATTGTCAGAAGCGGCGCTTGGTCGCCCTTCACTGCTGCAAGGGGCGGTTTGTTACCCTTCACAGTCAGAAGCGGCGGTTGTTGTCACTTCACTGTCAGAAGCGCGCGCCAGCACCGAGCACCGGCACACCAGCTCACGCCGCCCACCACCAGCACCCGGCGCCGGTATACCCAGCACCAGCAACCTGTCTCCACCCCCTGCACAGCCAGCTCACAGCGCCAGCACCAGCACCGGCACCCAGCGCCCAGCACCAGCACCGGCACCCGGCACCAGCACCAGCAACCTGTCTCCACCACGCGCATGGCCAGAGCACCAGCACCAGCGGCGGCACCCGGCACCCAGCGCCCAGCACCAGCGCCGGCACCCGGCACCAGCACCAGCAACCTGTCTCCACCACGCGCGTGGCCAGAGCACCAGCACCAGCGGCGGCACCCGGCACCAGCACCAGCAACCTGTCTCCACCATGCAGCTCATAGCGCCAGCACCAGCACCGGCGCCCAGCGCTGCACCCAGCACCAGCACCAGCAACCTGTCTCCACCACGTGCACAGCCAGCTCACAGCGCCGGCACCAGCACCGGCGCCCGGCGCCCAGCACCAGCTCCACCGCGTGCGCAGTTAGCTCACAGCACCAGCAGCAGCACCGGCACCCGGCGCCCAGCACCAGCCGGCACCAGCAATCTGTCTCCACCACGTGCACACAGCCAGCTCACAGCACCAGCACCGGCGCCCAGCACCAGCAACCTGTCTCGAAAGCGCGCACGGGTAACTCATTGTTATTTGAAGTAGGAACCCCATAGCTTCGCTATCTGGGGAATAAAACTAGCGTTGCAAAATCTGCAACTTGTTCTTGCCTTGTCAACTGTCGTGTCACCAAGTGCTCTGTACTGTAACGAACTCCGCGCTGCTCAGCCAAACTCCACCCAAGCTTCCAAGCCCCACAGCCAGCACCGCCAGAACCAAGCTCCCAAGCGCACAGAGCACACGCTGCGCGCGCACACAGCAGGCACCTTGCAGCGGCGCCAGCGCCCAAGCTTCCAAGCGGCACAAGCGTCCAAGCCCCCAAAGTGCACGCAGCAGCCGCAACCCGCAGCGGCACCCTGCACCCAAGCTCTCAGGCGCACACAGCAGCTCAAGAACTCACACAGCTCTTCCTATTCTGGAACAGCAGCTGCGCCCCGCAGCGGCGCCAGCACCCAGGCGCTAAAACGCACACACGCAGCTCTTGACCCCAATAGTTCACGCTATATATCTGGTAAGTTGTAATTTCTACTTTGTGTTTTGACTTTAATGCTAAATTAGCCCTAATTAAATTTTATTCAACGCAATTCTAATCGAACTCCAAATGAAGCAACTCTAATTCAACTTGAATTTAATTCAAACCGAAAATTTGATTTACTTCTAAGTTAGTTCTAATTCAAATTTACATTTGATCTTATGCTATTTTTCATTGAATTCTGCTTCATTTCTAAATTAAATGAATCGAATTTACTTCTATGTTTGCTTAAAATGTATGTTTATGCGACGTCTATCTGACTTCAAATTAATTAAGCGCAGTTCTAGTTTATTTCGACTCCAACTGTATTTCTAATTCAGCTTCATCTTACTCCAATTCAACTCGAACTCTAAGTCAATGCCAGTTCAATTCTTCTCAGGTTCTAAGTTAAACCATCAATAATAGCCAAAGTGGAATAGAAATAGGATCTTCCATGAGCTGCCCTCGAGTCAAAACAAAAGCATCTTTGCAGTCCAGTCAATGAAGAGTTCAAACGGCATCTTTACAGTCCAGTCAATGAAGAGTTCAAGCCTTGAGCAACAAGCGAGGCCAAGAAAACTGAGAACTGGATTCTCACAGTCCCTCGGCCCTCGCACTCAATTCAGGATGGCTCCAACAGCGGCTTCGGTGAGACCACGGGCTTAGATTCTTAGATCCGAAGAAGGATGCGCGGAGACTCCGAAATCTGCATCAAGGAACGTAGAACCTTCGTCAAACAGCTCTAGTTCCTCCCAGACTGGGGGGAGAGATCTCTCAATCCCCGCGTTCTCTTCGCCCTCACTGCGCATTGGGCTGCAGGGTGCGGTCCTCCTATCAAGCCTTTAGCCTTTTCTGGCAGGCTCTGGCTTCTGTCCCGGTGGCTTGACTCTCCTCCGCTCTGCTTCCTCCTCCTTGCACTCTTTTGCCCTGAAAGACTGACTCCTCTTTCGGCTTTGTCCTCTTCGTCTTTCGCTCGCTTTCTACCTTCCTTCTCCTCTCTCCTCTACCTCTTCCTTCACCCGAGCGAGCCGGACGGGCGCCGCCTTGAGCAGACTGCACCTAACAATGGAACAAGGGCACAACCAACCGAGCGGCTCGCGCATCCAGGAGGGTCCAGGGTGGACATTCAGCTAAAGCCACAACACTGCGGTGAAGAGTTTGGGTCTGATTGTTTTTAGACCTGAAACGCAACCAATATAATATAGGCATTAATTGTTTACACATACACAAGTTGTTAACAAGAAACGATCACAAAAAAGGAACACAAATAAAATAAGCGTTGCAGAATCTGCAACTTGTTCTTGCCTTGTCAACTCTCTTGTCACCAGATAGGGTGTTCTGTACCGTAACGAACTCCGTGCTGCTCAGCCAAACTCCACTTCCTTGCCTTAAACATCAGTGGAAGGGTGACAATGCACCGGGGATGCGCAAATACTAGCTTTTGCTCCCCCAATTCGTGGCCTACCCCCAACAAAGTATATAATGCAAAACAGAAAAATCCCTCTGAGTCACTCCCATTCCTCATAAGGTCCTGGAAACCAAATGCACGGGCCCTTCTCCACCCTGCGTGCTCCAGTGAGTGAATCTTCGACAGACACATACTCCTCAGCGCTCCAAGAACGCCTACTTGAATTGAGTGACCTACAACCTTGGAAAGGCGTTGCCAAAAAATGCATTCTGCTGTCAACTTAAGTCGGCACCGAATGAAAACTTAAAGGTCCCTGACGTGCTGAAACCACGCAAGGGCTGCCTTTTAATTTACGAAGCAAGAAACGGATGTGCTTCTACGGTTCGTTCATCTCATGTCTGAAGTTAGGGCTGATTAGTTAAGGTTCGCGTGTGAATGCATGTTTGACACCAAGAAAATGCTTTTAGTTGCTTGGTTCAAGTGTTCTTGTAAATGCACTCTAGGCTCAAGTGTTGTTGCAAGTGTTCTTGAAAATCTCAGCTCCGGTGCCCAAGCTCTTCCAAGGCTCGGTACTGTTGAGACGGACACCATTCATGACCTGGTGGCATTCATCGCACGAATTAGCCTTCACCCTAGGAGGAGAGGGAACCTGCTTCTTTTTGGCTCAGTTGTAAACTTGAAACTTCAAAGAAGGACAACTGTTCTACCCCGCCTTTCCTTCTTCTCTGGGCCCAGGGATCCAAATCAAAGGGCCCCGCTGCACCTTTCTCTCACCTGTCTGCTTGTCCTAGCGGCTCTTGAGATGACTTCACTACTGAACACCTACCACAGCAACAGAAGCAAAGACCCCTTCATCCACGGTCCTGTATCAGGACATACCTTGGATAGTTGTCTTGCAACAAGTGTCCTATGCCCAATTTTGTTTCCCATCTTTTCATCCTTGCTTTCAACAAGTCCATTGCTTCACGTTCTGTGCTTCTGGAATCAAGGCGCTGCATGCTGGTCAAGCTCACCCCTTGACCAGCACCTTCTAGCTTCTCATACGGGCCCAGGAAAAACAACCTGGCAGACTATGAACAATGCTTTATATAGCAGGCTTGGCAGCAACTACAACGATAGCAGCAAATAGGCACTACTACTACCAATAATAATAGTAATAATAGTAATAATAGTAATAATGATGATGATGACAATCGTTGCTGGCGAAAAGATGCCACATGAAATTCGCCGGACTTTTTCGTAACATAGAGCCACATACTTGTAGTCAACTTTTGCTGCTCTCGAAGACTCCGAAAGCTTTGGCAAACCGGCAAACCTTTCAAACATGCAAGGGTTCTGCTGCCTCGTTTCATGTAGTAGCTTTCTTGCTAATAGACGGACTACTGGCTACAAGGATCGTGTTGAAGCGAGACGTGTGACTTTAGGCTTACTTCCCTTCAGACTGCGCCTCGGGCCACGCACTGCGCGTTCAGAACCGTCCATGGTATCGCGTACCCTCACCTTAGTCGCTTCTCAGCCGCTCGGTCCGATTGAAAATATGTTTGAGACTCTGAACTTTTGGCCAAGTTACGTAGTCTAGAACACCAAGGGTGACGGCCTTTGTAATGTGGTAGGACTTGAATGGATTGATCCAAACCAAGCCAGGACCTCGAATCAAGAAAAACGTTTGAGGAAAAACACCATCGAACATGCTACGCTGCAATCAAGTATCCATTAACGACAGTAATGGTAGTGAGGTGCTGAACCCTGAGTTGCTCGTCCATCCGCAGAAATCGCACCTTGCCATGTCACCGCATGTAAAAATCTCACCAGTTCTTCAAAAGCCTGAGGAAGAAACTGGACACATCATGGTCATCAGAATCTGCAATAATATCGAAAGCGCAGATTGGATAGCATCAGACCTGCACGATGAAGTCACATTGAAACAATAATCCCATGCGTCGATTCCAACGCACTTGTGTCAAACTTCCTTCAACACTGCAGACTACCTCGGGACATCAGCATCTTCTCGAGCAGGGCGAACCTCAGATCAACTTATTTCTACCGTTTTCATTTCTCCTGTTCCCCACCAACGCAGGTATTTCTTCCAAAAACTTTCCACGCGCAAATCCTCGCAGTCAACATAACACGCAAGAACGATGTCTATAGAATAAACATGAATAAACATTTCTCAATCGAAAGTTCGTGGAGATGTCGACCATGTGCCAAGTCAAAGCAACAGCCCGCTGCACGGCAACATCTTTGCGCCTGCAGTACCAACTCCAAAGAACTGTTTAATGAAGGGCAAACCACTGGGAGAACTGCATGTAGACTCAATCAACCCCCGCCATTGCTCGGGAAAGCCAATCGGCAAGCAAAACACGACAAAAAATTATCAAATTATCACCTGAGATGAGAGGGGGTGAGAGGAAGGAGGTGAAGTGCCCAAAAGCAAGTTTGTCGTTTTGTCATGGAACCTGTGTCATCTCTGTGGAAACATTTTGGGTGGAAATCATAGTTTTTGTTTGTTGTTTGAACCACATGCGGTTTCCAGCGCCTGTGTGGCGCTTGCAGGCAAGTTCAATATATTATTCGTTTGATGTTGTGTTCATAGTTTGCATTGCGTTTTTTCCCAAGATAGCGAGATCTATTGGGGTTCTTACTTCAAGAAATTATAGGAAGAGGTGCCTGTGCGCGTTTTGGGGACCAGCAAGGTGCCGTTGCAATGCGCCGTTGCCGGATGTTTGGGGCAGCTTGGCGCTTAAGAGCTTGGTGTTGGTTTTGAAGCTTGGATGCCGGCGCAGGGTGCTGCTGCCAGGTCACGTCTACGTCGAATTAAGAAACAAAGCGCTTAAGTGCTGCCCACAAGTGTCTTGTGCTATCTGGGGTCTATGCCGGTGTATAATCTCCTTTTCAGGTGGCACCGGACTGCAAAAAACATTGCTGCATTGCTCTCACTGCATAGCACTTGTGTTCACTGCCAACACACACACACTCGAGATATTGCGTACGGAACTGAATGCCGCATGCCACACGCCCACCTAGGTATGAACGCCCAAGAGTTCCAGGAAAAGGTATGTAATGCGGTCTGAACATGCAAGCCGCCATGAGTCCCAAAGATCTCAAAGTTCACAAAATTCTCGAAAGCACGCGGAAAAGGAAACGAGAGTCGTCGAGTGCACATCTGCAGACCTGAATCATCCTGCAACAGCCTGAGCACCTCTACGAGTGCAGAGTGGCTAGAACATGACAAACTGCAGGTACAGGAAGGCGATCAGCCTTCCCTTCCCATCCATGACCGTAGCTTCGTTGCACACGGTGGGTCATGGATGCCCTGTGCCCCTGCTGAAAATCAAAGGGTTCCCTGTGATTGCCTGTGATTCCAATGGTTTCACAGTTAGACCCATGCTTGCAAGAGCTAAATCAGTGATGGCTTCCACATGAAGCTAGCACTTTACGTTACTGAAAGCCAACTAGACCGTGACTTGCAAAACAGAAGGGTGAATGAGTCCGCAATAGCAGAAGGTTTGAACAAGGCTCAAGAACAGATGCAAAGGCCGGCAATCTTGTTCTAATTACAAGCAAGGACCAACAGCGTGTGACCCACCAGCTGCACTTACTGTAGATGCCCAGGCGCGCAGGTACGTTTGCACAAGCACTGCACGGGCGTCTTCGTTAGCTCTCGTCTCACGCAAGCTCCGAGAGCGCCTGCTGGTCTGTATAGCGATGTGAAGAAAAGAGCTTAATTTAGAAAAGAAGGTAACTAGTTATTGCGGTCGCGCTCCATGGAAAGAGGAGTCGACACACACACACACACTCACGTATCGGCGGCCCCTGAGTCCCTGAATTGATCTTGCCGCGCGCTAAACGAACGCACTCGCGAAGATCGTGCCCTTTTTGGGCGTATATGTGAGCCAGGTGAACAAGCGCTCGTTCTGTGGCTTCGGGTGGGAAAGTCTATTTCTTGATGAGGTGGGCTCGTGGACTTGTGAAAGGCAAAGGGAGCCCGCTGAGCCGAGGAATGGTCCCTGATCCTCCAAGGAGCGGTGGGTGGTATGTATGTGATGGTGCGGTGGTCCAAGTTGACGTCGAAGCCCAGCAAGCGCATGTCTTGGACGGGTTCCAGCTCGATGGGGTTGCCAAAAAAGTCAGGTGAATGAGAGTCTGGACGCCGACGCGGTTCAGAAAATAAGTGGTGTTGAAAGTGATGAATCGGTTGCCCGCGTACCTGTAGTAGGCAAAGTGTATCTGGCTGCTGGCTGTGATCCGCGAGCCTGTGGTGTAGCTGGGCCCATGCGTGTTCAGAGAGCGATGGCAACGTTGCAGAGTGCTGGTGAGAGCTGGCAACCAATACCGGCTACTCTGGTTTGCTGGTAAAATGTGGCGCAGGCTTGGAAAATACAAAAGAACGCCGCGCGGACAATCTGCGGGACGTCGCTTGTTTTTCAATGGTGCGGAGAGTGGGGCACCGGCGGTGATGTTGGCCGATGTGTGAAAGGTGAATGGGGTCGCCATTAGCTTGGACGTCAATGGTGAGGGTGGATGTGTCAAATGTGAAGTTCCATTTTGCGGTAAGGCTCTGGACAGCGTCGTTCAGCCGGTCTTGTGGCACCGCGTTGAAGAAACCAAGTGTTGGACAGGCATTGGTGGAAACGTCGCCAAAGCCGTGGAATGGAGAGTTGGCCCGGCGCCTGTGGAAAGAGGCGTAGGATCATGGTGCGACGGCTGGAAGTGGCTTGAAGCAGAACGGTAGGAAATGATGGTGGAAATGATGGCGCGGCCTTTGCGCCATTGTTTCTTGGCCTTGAGGGCGCGCGATAAAATACGGTATCATAAACTTCCCGGAACGCCAGCGATATTTGAATGGTGTCAGCTGAGTGCAGTGTGTCGCCGGCGGTGGAGGGCAGCGGTGGGCCCTCGTCGTCTTCATGGGAGGTGGAAGTAAGTGGCCACGCCATGTGACGCGGGCGCAATGGTTCGCAGCCGGTGGAGCGGTGGAGGAATTGGTTGCGGGAGCGCCCCATAATAGCCTGGTAAATTTGGTCGAGGAGGGCAGCAGCACGTCGAAGGTAGCAGGCAATCTGCAGGAGGTTTGGTGGCAGCGGATCCACTAGTCTCTGAAGAGAGTCCGACATGGCCAGAACCAGTGGGAAACGTGACAGGAAGGCGGTGGCGCCAATGATGAAGCTGAATGGCAAGCTATGTACATGGCAACTTCCAGAGTCCAGCAAGTAAGCATGACCGATCTCCGCAAAAGCGGACTGTAAGTTGTATATATTGAAATCTCACGCGAAAACTGCAAAGTGATTTGGAAAAAAGTTCACATCCATATCACACAACGTCGAATCACAAATCAAAATCGAAAATCGTTCTTCTGAGGCGGTGGCAAAGGCAGAAAATGAAGGATTCTGAAGGAGATGCTGAACATTGCCAAGCAATTCCTCGAATGACGGCATTGTCGGGTGGACCGTCCAACACTTGGCGTTGCGACGCTTTACGATACCGTCGATGCCGTGGTCGAGGCGTCTATTCAAGCCGTTCACCTTCGCGCCAAAAGGCCCGCGCCAAAGGCCATAACGTGAAAGAAAACTTTGGCTTTGTTTTTGTCCAAGCTGTTGGTCTTTGCAAGGACGCGTGCTGTGTTCCAGTGGTCGTATTGAGTCACCGGAGGTTTCAAAGCCTTGTGCGAAGAAACCACAGACGCGTATCACGCAAGGTGCTGGTTTTGAATTCGCCACCCGGAGCAGGGTAATGAGAGCGCTTTCTTCCGTAGCATGGCCACAAAACACGCGCTTGACACCGTGTTGCGTGTTGGTTTCACGGCGACGTGCGGGAATGGAGATGGAGCCTCCCTCGGCGGTAGAGTCTGGGAATGTACAAGGTGAAAAGGGAGGCGGCATCGTAGTTTTCCAGTGATGATTTCCATTCACTGTGTTGCCATAGTCGCAAATCTTGGAGGTCGTCAGCTTGGATGTTGGCGGCTGTGAGTAGGCGGGCAATGTAGCGTAGCATTGTGTTGGATGAAGTTGATCGCATTTTTGGGGGAAGCGGTAGATCTGGTCCGCTGGTGACGCAGTGAAAACGCGATCTCTGTCAATGTCTGTGTAGGACGTGGAAGGAGGAAGCATAGGATCTGGTCAGCCCACGTATGCCTGGGTGGAGTGCTGGTGGCGCCCAAGCGCCTCGCGATTTTCGAGGGAAAGGTGGTTTGGGTTTGTTGGACCTCGTCCCTGGTGGCTTGGGTGGTGCTGGCGCCGGTGGCGCTGGTGCTGGTGATGGAGGTACGGAATTCGGCGTTGATGCCGGTCATGGCGCCGGCGCGGACGCCGGCGGAGGTGGTGGTGGTGGTGGTATTGAAGGCGCTGCAGTCGTAGAACCTGGTGTGAGTGTTGGCGTGGTCGATGGGGGTGGCTGTGGGGGTGGAGTTGTAGACGTGGTACAGCAGAAGTGGAAGCCATAGTAGGTTGCGAGGCAGAAGACCGCACAGATCCGGTCTGCTGTGAACGGGTGGGAGGTAAAAGTTGTTGAAGCCGGTGCAACGTGAGTGGCTGGAGCCTGGAATGGTTGATGGTGGCGGTGGCCCAGGTGAGAGGGCAGAAGCGGTGTTGGCGTGGCATGGACGAAAATTATGGGTGAAGTTGGAACTGGATGGCGGTGCGTCGATGATGTTGCATGGTTGGTACTTGAATTGGTGAGTACAAAGGTGCATGCGGTGGAGGCGGCATGTGTGGTGAAACTATTGGAGGGACGGCGCCGTAGGCTGTGGTTGAGCATGCCATAGTGTGTGACGAAGTGACCGAAAGTTGGCGGGCGCCACAGCCAATGGCGCAAGAGGAAATGCCAGGCTCCTGAATGCTGAAGAAAGGGAAAGGCTTATGGGGTACGGTCATGGGCGCACTGCGGCATCAACAGCAAAAGGCAACAAGTCCAAGTATGAGGACGAGAGGTGTTCTTTGGTAGGTGATTCGTTGATGGTGTGGTCCTTTGTTCTGTTCGCGAAGTACACCGGTACGTTTGACGTTGCATTGCTGTTTGCCAGAATGGGACGCCCTCCTGGTTGTAGGCTTCCTCATGGGCGGTCTGGGGGTGGTATCAGACCTTAACAGACATCTGGCTGCACGGGTACGTCACACGGGAAGCGACGTCCGTATTTCCACAGGTCAAATCATGAATGCAAAAACATAGCCCCGTCAAAGTGTTCAGGCAGGTTGGTGGAGATGGAGGCAGCTCTTCCAGAAGCTGTCAATCGAACAACACGCACGAGCAATGTGACGACAGAGTCTGACATGCATTGTTGCCTGGGTCCAGTTGCGGATTAAATTTTGGATTAAAATGGATGAAACTTCAAGCGATTACATCAGTGTGGTCTGCAGCTTGATAGCAGCAATCTCGAGCAAGTGGCTACGCAGAAGGAATCAAGCAAGACGATGAATCACTGACAATTCGCCCTTGAGGGTCTATGCTCAACGCGCCCAGTAAGGATCACACAACAGACCTCAGTGGGACCCTGTTGCGGCACACACTTAGATCCAATGCTTGCAAGAGCAAAATCAGTTGCAACTTATAACTTCCACGTGAAGCTGGCACTTTACGTTACTGACGGCTAGACCTTGACTTGCAAAATGGAAGGGTGAATGAGTCCACAAACAAGGCTCAACAACAAATGCAAGGGCCGGCAATCTTGTTCTATTACAAGCAGGGACCAACAGCGTGTGACCCACCAGCTGCACTTAGATTCCCAGCTGCGGTCAAGAGCAGGTGCGTTTGCACAAGCACTGTGTGAGCGTCTTCGTTGGTTCTCGCCTCACGCAGGCTCCGAGAGCCCCCTGCTGGTCTGTACAGTGATGTGAGGAAAACCGATTTAATAGGTAACTAGTTATTGTGGTCATGCTCCTTGGAAACAGGAGTCGACACACACACACAAGCAAGCTCCTGCGAGATCTAGCAGGCAAAGTCAATCTTGAACTCCCAGTGGTGACTCATAAAACTGAGCCCGGGCATCAGCAGATTGATAAAGGAGAGGCGGGTCAAGCGAACATCTGCAAGCTGTTTGGAATGAGATCCAGTGACCTTCAATGAAACCAGTAAGCTTCAGTGATACGAACCAGCCAAGGCAGTTGAGGTGAAGTCCTCCGGCATTCCAAAAGAAGCGCAGCTTGCCTGAAGCAGTGGTAGATCGTGGTGAGCACTGGTGGAGGAGCAGGCGCCCTGGAAGCACAGGAACCCCTGTCAGGTGCAAATGGTGGTTTCTAGCTTTGAGCAGGAAGCGCAAGTCGATCGGAAACCTTGCCAACATGGAACAAGACAAAATGTTCTGGGACTGGGCAGGCAGGATGAAAAAGTGGTACCGGAGGTCCACCAGCGCAGATGCAGAAGCGCAGGATATGGCCAACCCTTCAACTCTGCACCAGACCAAGTGATGAGAAGATAGAGAGGCGTGAGGTGAGGCAAACGTTCAGATCTTTCAGAAAATGCGATGATGAGGCTGAATAAGCAGAGAAAGATTGAGGGAGGTCAGATCAAACGACGAGAACACAAATCAATTTGTGACAAAGGCCATGGGGACTCGTTGACATGGCTGTGTGTCTACGATTTGTGAAGCCTACAAAAGGACAGCTGGAAACTCAGCAAGAGCTACCAAAGCAAAATCAGACTTTGGCCTTTCGGGGATAGGGGAATTCAAAGTCAGTAATTAATGTTTAACCATGCGGGAACGCCTAAAATGTTTAAAAAACTGTCTAACGTGGATTTGAGTCACATTGAAGGGGGGCAAAGTCAAATGCCGGAGTGAAGCTCAACTGTGCTTATCATCCATCTGTCATTTTTCTTGAGGAGTGAATCGGATTTTTAATCTGGATCGGGGCAAGCAAGCCATTACACAGTTTGGACAACGCTTCTTTCACGACTCCAACCTGTACACTTCCATCTCCCCCTCTGATCGGGGCTTCCAATCCGCACGGCGACCGCATGTAATGCACTGATCCTTGGTCAGTAGCTTCTAGCTACTAGCAGTAATGCCCTTGTTGCTAGTAGCGATGCCCTTGTTACTACTAGTAAACCCATCATCCCCTCATCGGATTGCAACTTTTGCTGAGTGACAGAGTCCATGGAATTCCTCTGCATGCACAGCTTGCAAGACCATGTGACCGCCATTTGATGCCAGAGCCAAACACTCAGCTTGAAAGCGCCAAACTTGTCACATGGCAAAGTACGGGTCCGACACGGTGCATTTGTCGCGGGCCAAAGTCTGAAGTAAAGCGGTCTCTTGTTGGCTAAGAATATTCATCAAAATTGTCTGCAGAACAAAACTGCCTGTTTTCTGGAACCTAATTTAGCGTCCTGCAGTCCAAAAGCTGTTGCTTCCTACGTTAGGTTCAACTGGATCAATTTGCAGAATTCTGGCACACTAGCAAGTACTCTGAAATCCCTCTTGAAGACGATTGCAAGGTTCACACGCAAAGTGATAACACCAAGTTTTCTATCTGCAGTTGAGCCTGAGGCAGCATCTAGCTTGAGCTCACAGCAACAGGATATATATATATGTACATCTAATTGTTTTTCAAGGTATGTGACTGTCTACTGGCGCTCGCATCTATTGACTTCACGACGCTCTCTTGCAGATTCCACTGCGTCGGCAAATCATCAAACAACGCAGCCTGCCTGTGATGGTCACAGCACAGTCGAGCAACCGCTGGATGCCAGTCACTGGCCGTTGCTCTGTTTCTATTATGCATGCCGTGGGTTTAGTTGGCTGAAATCTTGGAGTCACACCATTCTGATAGAAACGGATGGTCTTGTGAGGACTGACTGGAGAACTGGCTCTTGTGCTAATATAAATGGGTATCTTGCAAAATCAACTTGCCCTTCAAATTACACCAATGCGCATGTGCGACAAAGTGCAACTTGAGCCAACCTTCAATAAGACAGGTTTCATGATGTTTCACTGTTCAAGCAGAGGGGGCAATGGCTATCTCAGTGCCTGCACCACAAATACATGTAATCAGCTGACAGCAAGGTGTGGAGAACCTCATGAGGTTTGCGGCATCCATGATCAAAAGGTCTCAAAGGCTTTCACATGGATTTGAAGCTTAGCCTTGGACATCTGCAAAGAAAAGCTGCAGAAAATGCTCACCTCAGTTGCTCTGTTCCCTGGGAATTTGTTGATCTTCAGGGTATATGCTGAGGACTTGGCCCAAAAAATACATCTTACCCCAGAAGCACATTCTGATAAATCGTGCAACCTGAACGCCGAAAGTGCTTGATTCAACTGCAGCAAAAAAGTCAGAGTGCGAGAACAAGCAAACACCGAAGCCGAAGCAGCTTCACAAACTGGACTCCAAGCCAGAAAAATGTTGGCAGCAACTGTGTTTGCAATATTCACCAGAATGTGCACCTACCGAGCCAATCATAAGTATTATCATCCGCAAAAAACAATCTTCTTGAACTGCCTACCCCTACTCGCAAATTGCAATGAATGATCCTGTCTTTCAAGCTAGCTTTGCAGCGAACTGTGCCCTTTTTCACTCAGAAGACTTTCCGAAACTTCTGATTTGTTTCATGGTGATTCCAATTGATTCGTGGTAAGTGATGTTGGGTGTTCTTGATTGTTATATGCGTGTGGATATTAACCTTGTAACCGTGAGGGCTTACAAAGCTATCCTGTACTCCATTCGGGTTCGAAAGGACTCGCTCCCCTTTTCCTCCAATAGGGGCGCTTGAGCCAAATAGATGGCGGTCATCACACATAGTCACATAGCAGACAATCTGTACACATTCTATACTCCTATCGCTGCACTTCCATTGACACCCCCCATGTATCCCATGCTTTCAACTTTGGGTACAGATGATTAAAATCAAGGGTAAGTGCGCTGCGCATCAGGCTTCGAATTTGTAAATATGTGAGTAGAACTATTGGCTGTGCGTCTGAATTTGAGAACGATAGTCGAACTAGCCACGCTCAGAAAACTCTCAGTAGATCTTCGTCATGAAGTAGTCAACTATAAAACGTTCATCTGATGCTCTCTTATGACTGACAGAGGTTCATACTTGGCGAGTTGAACTTGTCTCAATGTCCGGTATCTTCCTCGTAGTCATTAAGTCCCTCCCCTTGTAACCAGGTGTCCCACTTGCATCCGGGTGTCCTGTAAAACGGCTTCATGTTAAGCTCTACTTGGGCTCGCTCCTGATGAGCCTAGCTTTTACTCACTCGCTAGACTGGCGTCATGGTGGGCCTTGCTATTGCTCGCTGACTAATGGTTTCATGATGAGCACAGTGCATCATCCCGATCGCCGTAGCCTTCCCAATGTCCACGGTCTCTCCTCAGGTTTGGGTTGGTCCACTGTCCATCTCGGAACTTTGCATCATGGGCGTTCATGTTCATAGCTGCTGGTTGCCAAGTTCGAGCGGATCAATTTGACTGCTGCCAAGAACCTTTCCCTTTCGGGTCCTGATGATGGGTTTCTCCTCGACTTTGGTGGCTTGAGGACGCTGCCTCGGATTGCGAAGGACGTTCAATCTCGCGCAACGCTCGGCTGTGGCGGTTTCTTTGTGGATGGAACGTTGGTATCATTCGCTCCATATTCATACTTGTGCATTAGCCGCTTGACTTGATCCACTTCCAGCGCGCCATTCCATCGCTTGAAGGCTCTTGCATCGATATGCTTGATCATCTCCAACACCATGGGCGGAAGCTTGATCTTGGATTGATCCAATACCAATAGAATCTATCCGTCCCACGTCTTCTGGGGTCTCGAATACACGACGTCAACAGTGTCAATGCATTTGTGAACGCACTGTCAGTCAAATCCTCTCTGAAATAGGAATACACCGCGACGTTGTAGATGGCTCGCGCATTTTCGAACCATTCTTGACTTTACGCTTGCCTTTGCCATCTTCTTTTCTTCGATCTTCTCTGGGCTGGTGCTCGGAGGAATATCGATCTCGTTGAACTCGGCCTTTAAAGAATCTGGAGCGTAGCCAGACGCGATTGCTTGCAAAGCGAATCTGCCCGTAGCGCGCTCTCCACGGAAACGGCGCCACGCTGATCGGCGATTGTTGCCTCCCTGGTGCCTCCCTGCTGCCTCGCGGGCTGTCCATTTCCTGCCTCCCTGGCGCCTCCCTGGTGCTACCCAAGCTGTCCAATTAGTCCTTTCCTGCTTCCCTGGTGCCTCACAGGCTGTCCAATTCGTCCTTTCCTGCTTCCCTGGTGCCTCCCTGGTGCTTCGCAGGCTGTCCAATTCATAATTCGTCCTTTCCTGCCTCCCTGGTGCCTCCCTGGTGCCTCCCTGGTGCCTCCCAGGCTGTCCAAATGGTCCTTTCCTGCCTCCCTGGTGTCCAGAGACTGACAGTGCCTGTGAACTTGTACAGGGCCTTGAGCTGTCCGGGACACTCTTCGAAAGCACCCACGTGAAGCACATAGCACACACCATTGGTCTTACGAAGGCCCTTAATTGTTATGGTTCCAAAGTCTACGCACTCACCAATGCAATATCAAGTCAGTGGTAGATAAACTGTTGGTGGTTCCCAACAACAAAAGGCCGGAACGCCTGTGCATCCCTTAGACCTACGAAAGGACTACCAAAGACTTTCTTCAAGTCGAGTGGCAACGATAAGTCCGACCTCGGGTCAAGCTTGGCCAGCTCTCCCTCCTACTTCATGGACAAAGCCCAATCTTCACCAGCTTAAGGCCATGGCGTAGTGGGACGTCAGTGGCTCCACCTGCAAAGCATTGTCAGTAGCTCAAATTGGCTGCAGCAACTCAACCCCTTCCACTGATTGCCATGAATCTCTTTAGGCGGCTTGATTGACTTATTGCGCCAAACACGATGAGTTTTTGCATCCTTTTGTGCCGCAGTACACTGCAGCATTGCTGTGCGGCTGACGAAGGTCTACGTGCTCGCAGTGCCAACCTCATGCATCTTCCGCATGAGCCACAGCTGGGGTAGCAGCCCCATCCCCTCTTGGAACCTGATTTGCTCAAGCTGGTGAAGCAGCTTTTGCTTTGCAGATCTCCATCCAATGCTCACTCAGGATCAAACATTGTGTAGGACACGAGAATCTGCATGGTGAACCTCTTGCCAACTCTGGCAGCACATTCTTGGACCTTGGACCTTTGAGATCTGCAATTGTACAATTAGTCCTCCAAGCTCGGAACCAATCATCTCCCGGGTGGAAGAAGAAGGCCAAGACCAAAGCTGCGGGGGCTGTTGCATACCTCAGAAACGTCACCTCATTTGACTTCAGTGATCAATGTTGCTTCAAAAATCGCGGCGGCTGCACACTCTGAGGAATGGAGTGGACCTCACACAGTTCATTCATGTATTGCACATGTGCAACTGGTCTTTTGAGATCCTTTAGGCAATCAGTTGTTGAGTTTCCCTTTCTTGCAAACACTTCACGCATCAACGGCACCTTGTCACACAAACGGGTTCGATCTTTGCAGTCTTGCTGCAAGAAGTAACTCCTTTTGCGCATTCTCTTTAGAAGTCTATGATTGCATGAGACTGGAGGGAGGTTGCATGTCTGCTCATGTTGATTCATCTGTGAAAATCAATTTGGAAAGAGGTGAAGGAGCGCTAGCAGATGAAGTTTTTGGAGGACTCAGCCAAAGAAGCCAAAGCCCGCAGTTTACCTCTGTTGTGAAGGTGAGTAGAGGAGCAAAACTAGTATTTATGTCCACAGACCAAAGCCTGCAACCAGCCCCTCCCGAACAAGAGATCCAAGAGACACATGTGGGCCAGAAGCTTTGCTTGAACTTCACAAAACGCTATGGATGCCGTGAGCATCTCGTCATCCCTTGAACCCCTAAATCCTGTCGAGAAGCGATGGAACGGCGCAGCAAAACAGGCACCCTAAGCAAGAAACGCAAACAGGGGCTCCTGATCGAAAAACACAGAAGGTCCGCAAATACACAAGCTTCAAGGGTTCGGACAAATATTCAGCAATCAAAAACAACTTGATTGATTTTGATGACAGTTCCACGGTGAAATGGCCGGATACCGGAAACAAAAGCGAGCAAGGAAGGACTTGGGGTTGGAGAGGGTGCAACCTGAACAGTGTGGAGACAAGCAGGGAACAAGCATTGACTTGAGAGTAGTGTTGCAACAACATGAGACAGGCAGCAGCATCTGCTGAAATTGGGTGTGCAAAGCAATGCCGGAACACCTGTCTACTGCCTATCTCTGTTCCGACCGAAACTAAAACTGCCAGCAGCAAAAATCCTGAGACAAACGCCAACCTCGCTTAGGCCCTTGCTGCTTC